CAGGACATCGGGGTGACCCCCCCCAACCCCTTTTTCTCTCCCCCCAGCCCCCCCTGGAGAGCTTGGCCACGGTGGAGGAGACGGTGGTGAGGGACAAGGCGGTGGAGTCTCTGCGGGCCGTGTCCCACGAACACTCCCCCCCGGACCTGGAGGGTCACTTCGTGCCCCTGGTGAAGCGCCTGGCGGGGGGCGACTGGTTCACGTCCCGCACCTCGGCCTGTGGCCTCTTCAGCGTCTGCTACCCCCGCGTCTCCAGCCCCGTCAAGGCCGAGCTGCGACAGTGAGTCACCCCCCCCGATGGCCCTCACCCGGCCCTGGTGGCCACAAGTCAACCCTGGTGGCTCCCAAGAGGGTCCTGGTTGGCCTTGGGTTCTTTGTGATGGACCCTTGGCCTGGTATTGGGCTTAGGGCTTGGTCGTGGTGGCCCCAAGGTGTCTTTGGTGGCCCCAAGGTGGCCTTGGTGGTCTTGGTTGGGTTTGGGTTGACCCCATGGTCTTCGTGTTGGGTGCTTGGGATGTTATTGGGGTTGTGTTTTGGTTGTAGTTGTCACACAACTTGTCGCCAAGGTGTCTTTGTTAGCCCCAAGGTGTCCTTGGTGGCCCCAAGGTGCCCTTGGTGGCCCTACATGGACTTCGTTGGGTTTGGGGTGACCCCGTGGTCTTCGCATTGGGTGCTCGAGATGTTATCGGGGTCATGGTTTGGTTGTAGTGGCCCCGTGAGCTGGCCTCAAGGTGTCTTTGTTGGCCCCAAGGTGCCCTTGATGGCCCCACACTATCTTTGGTGGCCTTGGTTGGGTTTGAGTTGACCCCATGGTCTTCGTGTTGGGTGCTCAGGATGTTATCAAGCTCGTGGTTTGGTCATGGTGGCCCCACAGCCTGTCGCCAAGGTGCCCATGGTGGCCCCAAGGTGTCCTTGGTGGCCCTACATGGACTTGGTTGGGTTTGGGTTGACCCCGTGGTTTTCGTGTTGGGTGCTCAGGATGTTATCGGGCTCGTGGTTTGGTTGTAGTGGCCCCACAGCCTGTCGCCAAGGTGTCTTTGGTGGCCCCACACCGTTCTTGGTGGCTCCATTTGGGCTTTGGTGGGACTTGGTTGGCTTTGGGTTGACCCCGTGGTCTTTGTGTTGTGTGTTTGAGATGTTATCATGTCATGGTTTGGTTGTAGTGGCCCCGTGGCCTGTCCCCAAGGTGTCTTTGTTGGCCCCACACCGTTCTTGGTGGCTCCACGTGGGCTTCGATGGGACTCGGTTGGGTTTGGGTTGACCCCACACTCTTCACGTTGGCTCCTCAGCACGTTTTTGGGGTTATGGTTGAGTCGTGGTGACCCCATGGTGTGTCCCCAACCCATCCCTGGTGTCCCCGACCCATCCCTGGTGTCCCCAACCCATCCTTGACGTCCCTCAAACCCCTCGAGCTCATCCCAGGCTCTTTGCGTTTGCCCCGTGGCCCCTTTTTGGCTCATTTTTGTCCTGTTCTGGACCCATCTCTGACCCGTGAGCTCTTGGGGGGTCCCCACCCGTCCCCCGACCCGTGGACCGTCCCCCCCAGGTACTTCCGCAACCTCTGCTCGGACGACACCCCCATGGTGCGCCGCGCCGCCGCCTCCAAGCTGGGGGAGTTCGCCAAAGTGCTGGAGCTGGAGCACGTCAAGAGCGAGATCATCCCCATGTTCTCCAACCTGGCCTCCGACGAGCAGGTCTGGGGGGGGAAATGGGGGGGTCCTGGGGCCCTGGGTCCTTCTGGGGGGGAACTGGGGGGTTCCTGGACCCATGGAGGGATCTGGGGGGGGGTTCCTGGACCCCTGGGTCCTTCTGGG